TTGAGAGCATCTACACAAGAGGAAAGTTCACCGAAGTATCCCAAAATGAATCGAAACACACACAAGCATCAAGGACGGCCAAAAGATAAGATTGAGAGCATCTACACAGGAGGAAAGTTCACCGAAGTATCCTGGAATGAATCGCAACACACACATACATCAAGATCAGCCAAAATACAAGTTTGAGAGCATCTACACAAGAGGAAAGTTCACCGAAGTATACCGGAATGAATCGCAACACACACAAGTGTCAAGGACAGCCAAAAGATGAGATTGAGAGCATCTACACAAGAGGAAAGTTCACCGAAGTATTCCGGAATGAATCGCAACACACACACAGATCAAGATCAGCCAAAACACAAGTTTGAGAGCATCGACACAAGAGGAACGTTCACCGAAGTATCCTGGAATGAATTGCAACACACGCACATCAAGATCAGCCAAAACACAAGTTTGAGAGCATGTACACAAAAGGAAAGTTCACAGAAGTATCCTGGAATAAATCACAGCACACACAAGCATCAAGATCACCCAAAACACAAGGTTGAAAGCATCTATGCTAGAGGAAAGTTCACCGAAGTATCCCGGAATGAATCGCAATGCACACAAGCATCAAGGACAACCAAAAGATGAGTTTGGAAGCAATCTATCATGAGGAAAGTTCACCGAAGTATCCCGGAATGAATCGCAACACACACAAGCATCAAATTCATCCAAAAGACTAGATTGAGAACATCTACACAAGAGAAAGTTCACCGAAGTACGGAATGAATCGCAACACACACAAGCATTAAATTCAGCCAAAAGACAAGATTGAGAGCATCTACACAAGAGGAAAGTTCACCGAAGTATCCCGGAGTGAATCGCAACACACACAAGCATAAAGGACAACCAAAAGATGAGTTTGTAAGCAATCTATCATGAGGAAAATTCACCAAAGTATCCCGGAATGAATCGCAACACACACAAGCATCAAAATCAGCCAAAACACAAGTTTTGAGAGGTGGTCTAAGCTAGAGGAAGGAGAAGGGGATAGAGAAGGAGGCGGAGAAGAAAGAGAGAGAGGGAGAAGAAGAAGAAGAAGGGGAGGAAGAAAAAGAATTAGAAGAGGAAAAAAATAGAAGAAGAAAAAGAAAAAGAAGAAGACTTCCTCCTCTTTCACTCACCTCTTGCTGGTCTCCAAGCAATGAGGTCCCAGGCTTGGTTGTAGCTCCTTGAGTACGACTTTCGTTCTCAAGCTATGGCAGACTCCTATCTCTAAGGCTATGGAGTCCTTCCCTCTAGGAGGGCTAAGGGGACCCCTTTTAGCCTCTCCTTCTATCTCACAGCGTGAGGGCTATGGCGGACCACTCTCCTCACTTCCTCCTAGCCTCTAGGCCTTCTTCCTCAACCCTATCACCATTGCCAGGCTTCAGGGTAGCTCCAGCTCTTATCTCCTTGCTCTACTCCACTAGGATTCTCTCATGGACTCATTTTGGCAGCATGGGCTCCTCTCATGCTCAAATGAGAGTGGCGGCCTGCACCTCCAGCTTATGTAGGCTGAAACTGGTGCACCGCCCAACCTCTAGGCCTCCCCAAGTGCCTCTAGGTGGACCGAGGTACCCCCAAGGCCAAATTTCAGGTTTTGACCTCCCTAGTGGTACCTGGGCCTCATCTTGGCCAGGTACATGCAGTCCGAGAGGCAAGTACCACTTCGGACTACCCCTTGGCCTACCCTGGCCTCCTTTCTTTTTGGGATACCCATACCCAAAATGCAGCCTTTGATGAAAATTGAGAGCCTAAAGGCCCTTTTCTTGTATTTTTCCACATCTAGGTCTCTTTTGGGTAGGCCGTTGCATTTTCCCAAGTGGCGGCACAATCTCAGCCTTGGATTTGGCTGAGATCCATTGCCCTCATTATTCGAAGTTACTCCCAAGCTCCCCTTGGCTCAAATTTGAGCCTTCAACTTCAATTTTCAATTTTTTGGTGTATCTGGTCCAAGTCTTGGGCCAAATACTCAGTTTTGCCCTTTTCCTCTCTTTGTTTTTCCCTCCATTTTGATGCCACCTCATTCCGGAGCTAGCCGTTTTGTGTCAGCCCACAAAAAACGGCTAGATCTCCTCCACCATGAGACATTGAGTCACAGCCGAAAACTTGCCTACAATTTGTTATCAACAATGCCAAGGCATATAATGAGAAAATCAATGGTGTTATGACAACAAATTGTCACCCTGGGAATAAAGCCAGCATGCTAGTAGTTAAGTGCATGAAGCAAGGAGAGCCTCGCCTGCTTCATATTACTGAAGTCGAAAGAATTATGGGCTACCCTGCTGGGTATACAGAGTTGACTGAAGAGGAAGTTCGTGTCTCGATCGAATGAAAGATAGAGGCAGACCTATGTTGGAAATGAGCAACCTGGTCAAAGCTGTAGGGAGAAAAGAGAAGTCCGAAGAAAAACTTCGACCCCCCCGTACCCTCCTCCGCACCAAGGGGCGGAGAACTGAAGGAAAACCCCAAGAAAAGAATGGGAAAAGACAAAAAGAACCCTGGCAAGCTAACTACCCGTCCCACCCCACTCCCCTTCTCCGTCTGTCTATCACTCCAAAATCCCCACTGACTATGGTCTGGTGCGCGATGAGGACATCGCGAATGAGTGGGGGGAATATGTCGGGACTGGTGAGTCCCGAATAGCTTCCCGTCACTCGAGAGACTGTATATGACCAATTTGTGCACGACAAAGAAAACCGGAGGCAGAAATGCTGGAGGAATCGAAGGCGTGAGCGACGACACTAAGGAGCTAGAGGTCACCCGAAGTCGCCGAGACCCTCGAACCAAGAAGGAATTATTGAAACAGGGAGCGGCAAAGGACCGCAGGAAAATAGCGGAGGCGATCCTTCCCCCGAAAACGGAGGAGGACCGCTGGGAAGATAATAGTAGCATAGGAGGGGCGCGGCAAAGAGAGAAAAGAAGCAGGATGTAAGGCGCCGACGTGGGGAAAAAGGTGGCCAGACTAGATGAGTCACTAGGACGCAGCGGCAAGAGGGCCGAGGGGGCCGCAAGTTAAGCTAGGACCCGCGTCTGGGGAAGAACGGCGTGCGGACGCGAAGGGAACAAGGGAAGGAGACCGCAGTGAGGCGGAAAGACGTCAGGAACATCAAAAAGAAGGTGTGGTGCCGGCGGGACAAGGTGCCGGGGACCACATGGGACCGAGGGACGATGCGGTACCGATAGGACAAAGTGTCGGGGACCACATGGGACCGAGGGACGGTGTGGGGCCAGCGGGACAAAGTGGCGAGAACTGTGTGAGACCAAGGAGGAGACGCGGTGCCGGCGGGACAAAGTGTCAAGGACCACGTGGGACCAGGCAGAACTATGGTGCCGACACGGGACTAGTGACGGGGACCGTGGGGGACTAGGCAAAATTGCGGTACCAGCAAAACCGCCAGCGAGACAGGTGCCGATGGGACAAAGTGTCGGGAGCCACCAACGGGACCAAGCGTCGGGAGCCGTCGGCGGAATAACTGGCAACTGAACGACGGGGACGCATGATGTCCCGACGAAAAACGGGTCGTCACCCGGGATGACGCCGGAAAAACAGTATGGACTAAGGTAATAAGAGGATGGGGAGAAGTCGGGCGTCGATAGGAAGTTGTCGACGGAATGTAAGCGGCAGGCGTGACACGGGAAAGACGGAGGATACCTGGGAGGACCCAAGGGGAACCTGGACCAAGTATAATAACAATAAGAAGTAAAATAATATCTGATGGGCGGCGCCGTCCGGGCCGGGAGCCCCGGACGAAAATACTAAGTATCGCCGCGACAAGCGCCGGCGGGGGGGGATGTCAAGGGGAAAGAGAAGAGGGAGTTGCGACAGTGAGGGGGCCCCGGCCACCAGTCCAGGTTATTCCGGACCAGCCAGGTCAAAGAAAAACAAAGTCCCGAGGGCCCCCACATGAGGAAATGGCTGGTCGGAGAAAATCGGAGCAAGGGGGCCTCAAACTGGAAGCGGCGGCAACTAAACGGAGCCCCCTAGGACCATGGGGGTGCCGCTACTGTAGTCCGAGGTGTAACGGCCACATGCCGGCTGCAAAATCAGAGCTTGGACAGGGTCCAACGACTAGAAAGAGGAGAAATAGTTGTTGGACACTTGTCCCAACAGAGATAAAAAAGAAAAGAGGGAAAAAGGGAGAGAATGAGACAAGGGAGGAGGAATGGGTGGAGGAAAATGTGCCGCCAAGTTGGGACTGCAACAGTAGGGACTGGCAAGTCTCAATGATGACCTCATCCCTCCTAGATCCTAGGAGGGCAGTCCGGATTGCAGAGATATGGCCCTTGGGGCATTATCTCTGCATTTGCTCCGGATGGGGGATGTTCGTCCAGTACAACCGCCGCCTTTGCTGCGGTGCCACCCACTTCGAATTGATGAACACAGGCACAACTTCTCCTAAGTGCTTCGTAATCTCAAATCTATCTTCCCATTTCATTGAGAAAACATTCTCGAGCAGACACCATCCTGGTTTTGTCTCATTCATTACTCTTAGGACATCTACACCTTTTCAGCACAATTTTTCCTTTCCCGAAGCTCAACCATAGCCAAATCCACATGCATTTTTTCCGGGTCATTGTTCCCGGCTTTTCTCAGGTCCTGTCAATTCCGCATGCATATCATCTTCTGCCCTTTCTTGCCCCTTAATTGACTTTCCATGTGCAATGCTCGGTTCCTCCCTTGTGCATTTCTTTTCCAAACATCTTGTCAGACCTTTTTCTCAAGCCCTATGCAAGCCAATCACACAACCATTCCCCAGCCTGCCAGTCCTTTTTTCAAGTCCATGCAGAGTCAATCATATCAGCCCTTTCCTTCCTGGTTGTCTTGCCAGACCCTTTTTCTCAACTTCATACCATGTCACTTGCTCAAGTCCTTTCTGTCATGGGCATCTTGTCAGGCCCCCTTTTCTCAGGCCCATGCAAAACCAATAACAAGTCTTTTTCTTTTCTGGGTGTCTTGCCAGACCCCTTTTCTCAGGTTCATGCAAAACCAATAACAAGTCTTTTTCTTTTTTGGGTGTCTTGCCAGGCCCCGTTTCTCAGGCTCATGCAAAGCCAAATACAGGTTTTTTTTCCAACGTATTCATTGGTAGATGGCACACCTTCCCCCCACTCAAAACGCGATGTCCCCATCGCGCGACTAGTTCTCACTCGGAGGTACGCAGACCTTTGGCCCACCAACCGCAAGTCAAGGACACAAGCCCATCCGCTTCACAAAAGGAGGAGTGATCAGTTCCTCCCCAGCGGACGACGCCTCATCCTTCTACCCAGTCCGACCTTTCTTCTCTTACGTGGCGAGCACTAATACGAAGGTTCCTCCTCGCGTCTGTCAGGCAGGTCCAATCCAAGCCTGTCAGGGTTCCTCGCGAATCGTTCCTCCCGAGTGGTGATTTTTTAGATTCCGGCCTCTTCCTTTCAAGAGAGTTGGGGCTCTCAATTAGTCCGCGAATGCAGTTACAAAGGCCTCGCAATTAGTCCCGAAACGGTTGTAATGTTCCGGCAGGGCAATGCCAATGCCCCGTGGTGGTGGCGGACTCCACCCGGTACCTCGCCCAGCCTCTCCCCTTGGACAGTGCCGCCCAACTTAACGCGGGCAGCCGTGGTCCGATCCAAACGGCCATGCCACCCCTCTATGACATGGCGTGTGGTTGGAGAGTAGCAAAATAGACTTAGATGAGAATGGCTTTCTCGCCCATTTGGCTGTCTCGCCCTTTGACGTTTAGGCGTTCAACAGGAGGCGCAGTTTGAACTCCCCGACTAGAGCTCATTGTTGGGGGTGGTTCCGAACGACCGTCACCGATCCAAGTGGTAGGTGCCTTGGTCCTTTAACCCGCATCCCCTTGAAGAGGGACAGGTCGCGCTGAGACTTTTTCCCTCAAGGGATARAGGTCTTGGGGTCGCGGTGCATGCACCGGTATCCCCCTCTTGCTGARGCCAAAGACTAGAAGAAAGGAGAAATTCCATTTCCATACCAATTCCATGGTCGGTCCGATGACCTTTCTTCCAAGTTGCCTAGGGTCCCCTGTTTATGCAATGCAACTTCCAATACTCGATCCAATTCCAATGGTCAATCCATGCTCAGTCTCATTCCAATGCTCAATGCAATGTCTCTTCCAAGGCTGAGACCAATATCTGTCCCTTATACACATCTAGATGTGTATAAGAGACAGATGCAACTTCCAATACTCGATCCAATTCCAATGGTCAATCCATGCTCAGTCTCATTCCAATGCTCAATGCAATGTCTCTTCCAAGGCTGAGACCAATATCTTTTCCAAGCTCAGCTCTTTCCAATGTCTTTTTCCAGGGCTCAACTCTTTCCAATCTCTTGCATCTCAGGCAGTCATGCAAGGGGACCCCAGTGCCAATTCCAAAGAATGACCCTTATCAGGGGCCATTCCGGACAACCTGGTTAGGGTCGTCCTTTCGAATTCCAAGTCGGACAGCCCGATTAGGGTCATCCTTATCCATTGCAATGGACGGCCTGGTTAGGGCCATCCTTGTCCCTTTCAGTTGGACAGCCTGGCTAGGATCGTCCTTATCCATTGCAATGTTAGCGCCTGAGGGGGTGGGCCTCGAGGACACGGATCCTACTCTCGTCTCGGGGTTTAGAAAGTGGCCATCCTTTCAAGTTTTGACGCATGGTTCTTCCTCTTTCTTTTATCATTTGCCATTCTTACATCCATCCATACACTCGACTTAGCGTTTAATGCTCGAGTTGAGGCTCGCGACCCCAAGCAGCACTAACTCGCCCGGTCGTTCAACCATTACAAAGAGTGCTAACTTATTTCAATGTTTCCCTCCCACTCTCCTGACTTCTCATATCCTTCCAATGCTCTGGACTTGTCTGGGATAGGTTAGATTAGGCTCCTAGGGAAAAGGATGTCTCTTTACCCATAGGTCCCCTAACCTCTCACAAGGACTTGTGCAACGACTCATTCAATCATGGGTACACAATTGAAAAAAAACAAGTTTTCGGCATCCATTTTTCTTCCAACCCCCAATAGTTCACATGCCCTTGCCCGCCTTCAGAGTCAATCATTCCCAGTCCCTTTCTTACTACCGAAGAAGACTCATACTCCAAAAATGAGCGAGTCGTGTACAAAGTAGCGCTGGTTACTATTCTTTACTAGTCTTCCAAGTCCAAAAAACAGTTACGTTGCAGTCCTTCCAAAAATGAAGAGACAAAGTTCGAATGCAAAGGCAACATTACAGACTCGTCTCAGTTGGATCCCTCTGTTTTCCCCTTGCCTTTCCCTTAGGCAGGACCCAGCCATCCAAAGTTCTATTCTAAGTGTCGTGACTCTCGTGCACTTTCCTGAAGAAGCAACCACTTGTACAAAGTAGCACTCATTACCCAGTCCTTTAGCCGTTTCGAGCTTTGGCAGTTGTTCCATCACCGTCCATTCAGAAAGAAATTCAAATGCACAACTAAAAAATGGCAGTTCTACCTGCCCAGGTACCAACCCTCCCCAATTTCTAGCTAGCCCCCATTATGCCTACTGTCCCCTTTATTGTCCCGCTGCCCCGCGCCGAGCCTCCCTTCTTGCTCGATCGTCCATTTCCTGCTGCATTTGTCTTTTTATTCCCTGTAACTGAAGGAGCGTCCCTTCCGAGAAGAAGGTCGTTGGGGATAAGTCTTCTCCCCTGCTCAACTTTTCCTTCCCCTTCATTGCCCATTGATATCGCAGGATGGCAGCCCATTGATTGAACCAGTCGCTCAAGGTAGGCCCGAACTCTTCTATCCATTTGTCCTTTTCTTCCTCTGGACCCTCCTCTCTTCCCCGTTCTTCCCTGGTGGGTGTTGTCACCTCATCCTCTTCCTCCTCACTGCTGAGGTCTATGACCTCAATGGGCTCCTCCTCCTCCAACCTTTGCCTTTTCCCTGGGTTCCCTTCTTCCTCACTGCTGGTGTCGCTTTCAGAGGGGAGGACTATCGGCTCCCCTTCTCTCAGTGGTGACAGCCCCCTGGTCCCTTGTTTTCTGCCCCCTCTGTTCACAGCCAGATTGTGATCAAACTCCACATACAATTTCCTTTTCCTTGAGCTCGATTCCCCAGCCTGCCTTGATGGTTGTCCCCCAGTAGGCGTGTTGATTGCATTGCTGTCGTTTTTGTTTCCAAACTCCATCTTGCTGTTTTCTCCTTGCCTGGTCCTGTTCATGCATAACAGTTACCACAACCCCTCATACACACACATTCCCTCCCACCACCATTTGCAGATTTGCAGGCCTTCCCAGAACCCTCGTTTGCCCCCATGTAGTTGGCGGTCCCATCATCCCTTAGGCACATTGTTTCCCTCATAGGCTCCTCATGTAAACAGTCCCCAAAATTGCCCCACAAAAAGTTATAGTACATTGTCCCGGTACACGAATACCTCGTGTAGACAGTCCTCCGAATTGCCCCACAAAAACTATAGTACATTGTCCCATGTTCCCAACCCCATTCAAAGTCAGCCCAGGCGGTCTCCCCACGTTCCACAGAATCAAGACACACAAACGAACAATCCCTGTGGTCATGATCACTTCCACAGGGAGGTGGTTCAGAACGATAGCCAGTTGCCTGCCTTTTAAGATGCCAATTCCTTAGTTTCCCCATCCTGAGCCTCTTGTAGCCATTGTTCCACCGGATCCCTGCCCAAAAATCTGACCAGTCTCTGTCCCGGAAATGGCCCTCTTATGCTAGTACCATCAAGATCCTCAAGTTCGAACGTATTCAGTCCCACCCGCTTAGCAATCCTGTAGGGCCCTTTGAACCTCTTTCCCAGCTGCCCAGACCACGTGCTTTCTAGGGCCGAGTTCCTGACTAGCACCTTTTCCCCCACCTGGAGTGGTTCCTTCCGAATGTTCTTGACCTGGTCCCACCTTGCTTTGTCCTCATTCGACTATCCATCACACGGTTAACTACTTCGTCCAGCGCCTCCTCATTTTTGGCGACCTGCTGGCAACGTGCAGTGATTAACTCTTCTGTAGTCAAGTGCGGGTCGTCGTCTAGTCTGTTCCAGGAAGGGACCAGGGCCTCCATCGGAAAGTCAATCTCCCTTCCATACCAGAATTCCGCTGGAATGCACCCCGTGGTTCTCTTTGGTGTCACGTTCTCGGAAAAGACTGCCTGCCCAAGATACCACGGCCAATTTCCCAAGTCGTCTGCTGCCAACTTTGCTATTGTGTTCTTCAAGGTCCGGTGACCCCTTTCTACTGGTGCATTTGCCTCAGGATGCTAGGGCTCAGTAATCTTGATTGGTACGCACAATATCTTAAGCCTGTTCAACACCTCCTGGTTAACGAATCTTGTCCCATTATCTGCTATAAACCTACACACGAAGGGGTGTCTTAGGTAGTCTTCCACCCAATCGGCCACTGCTTTCCCCGTCTTCCTCTTGAGAGCTACGACCTCTACGTAGCCACTGAGATTGTCCCTTGCATCCAAGATGTATCTAAACCCATCCGTTGATACGGGCATAACCGCAAGATTGAGGTGAACAAGGTGCCCGGGTCCCAGTACCCGAGTGGGTCTAAAGGGTTCGTAAACCCGTGCGGAGCTCCTCTCTGGACATATCAGACACGTCTGACAGTACGTTGCGACCATGCCTGCCATTCCTGGCCAGAAATACAGGGGCACGATCTTTGCAAGTGTCCCCTTTGACGACCGGTGACCTCCAGCTAGCCCATCATGCATTGCCTGAATTACGTCCAGCTGCCTAGACCTCCCACAAATGACACGCCTAGGTATCATCCCTTCCTCTTTCTTCAACAGGTGACCATTTCTTAAGACGTACTTCTCAGCTTCCTCCCTTGCCTTGGAGCTGACTTCCGTGGGTTGTTTGTTCCCTACAAGCAGCAGACCGATTTCTCTAAAGATGCCCTCATATATCTGTATGAGGAAGAACTCTTGTTCCTTCTGATCCGCATCCTGCTCCTCCCGGCTCTGGTTGACTAGGTACTGACACTCCTTCTGCGCCCAGGTTTTGGCCAACGTCATCACGGCGTCCCTTCCCCCTTCCACGGCCATTGCCATCAGTTTCTCTCTGGCCCCTACTTCTGCTCCCCACGAGTCCTTTTCCTCTTTGCGCCTGACTGTGGTGACTGGTCCTTCCCTGAGTTCTGCAGGCGCGCCCTTTTCCAAGGTATGAATCAGCAACTGACCTGTTGTAAGCGTTGAGTCGGTCATTTCGTTATCCACAACAAAGGCCCCCCCTTCGTATTCTAGGAAGGCGTCAATTGGTTCCGCGTCCTCTACTCCCTCTAGCATGATACATACCCTGCTCAGCCCATCTGCCCTGTTTCGAAGCCCCGCAATTCGCTTGACCTTATAGTCGAATTGCCATATGAAACCTATCCATCTGCCGACGGTCGGATCTATAGGCTTGTAATTCTTTAGATCCCCGGCGACGTTGGTGGGATCGATCCTTAGGATAAATCGCCTTTCAAACAGGTATGCGTGGAAGGTCTTAAGGCAATGCAGGATCACTAAGACCTCCTTCTTGAACTGTGAGTACCGCCGTTCTGCCGAATTCAGGGTCCTACTTTCAAATCTGATTGGTCTTTCCTTGCCCTCCTCGCTTTTCTGTATCAATACCCCTCCTACTGCCATTGGTCCGCCATCTGTTTCTAAGATGAAGGGTCGTCCTACTTCGTCATTGAAGCAGGGTGCCGCTAAAGTAACATGATCGGAAGACAGGATATCTTTGAGGGTCTGGGTTGCCGCTTCCCTATCCTCAGTCCATTCCATAGTACCCCCTTCCCTGATCATTGCGCGGATAGGCTCAACTATCTTTGCAAATCCTTTGATGAAGATTCTCCAGAATCCGACCACCCCTAGGAAGGCTCGTACTTCCGTTGTGGTGCGCAGGGGTGTTGGCCATTGAGAAATCTTATCCGTCTTTGCTGGGTTAGGTTTCCTTCCATAGGCCCCACAACGAAACCCTAGTATGCTACTAGCCGCAACAATGTAAACTTTCAAAAAAACTATCATTTATAAAATTTGAAGTTCTTACCGATGTCCCTGCGTCCCTTTAGAACCAAACCCGTATAAGGCATTCATAGACGACCCGAAAACAAGGGTTTGTGGTTGTCCCTTCGTCGCCACCCTCGAGAACACCGAAATGTACTCCATCCTTACAAACCTACAGGCACCTCTGCCAAGGACTTATCGATGGCGTCACGCACACAATATGTCACTTGCTCTACCTCATGCCACTTATGAACCTTATCAATTCGACTGACAATCTCCAAATTCGATTGTCCGTTCTCGCACAGAAGGTGCAAACTCCCCATGTTGCAACCATAGATTCTAAGGTTATTGCAAGCAACTAGCACTACAGCGTCTACCAAAGTCCGCTTTCAGTTTGAATATGCCACACACAACACTCTGCAGAAGTCGGAACCGGCCACAGACAACCATATGCAACAATATGACACATCTTTTGGCTGTAACCCGGCACCACACAGCGGATATACTTCCAAAAACGGATTGTAGGATGCACAGTCCAACAACTCTTGTTTCAAGTCCGCACACTACACCCGAGGTGACCTCGTTACGTTGTCCGGGCGAAGGTAAAACCGGTTATTCTCTTCCTGCCTGAGCGCGGCGCGCAGGGACGGAAGTTGTCTGACACCAATGGCATAATGAGGTACTTTGATCAGACTTCCCCACTCCATCGCGGAAGCAAATTTGTAGTCCTTATGCCATGGGCATTTCCTTGCCAAGATGGCTCTATCCCATTCTGCCTCGGACCACGCATCGATAGGCTTGTCAAAGAAGGGGACGACGGTCATCCACGGGTCGTTTTCGGTATCGCCTCCCGAACCATGGAATCCGCATGCACAAGGGTGATTGGGACATGCATAATCATGCCGATGGTCCATGACTCCTGTCGCACTTCCTACACAAGACATGAAATGCAAACACAAATGAAAATGAAATGTGAAAATAGTAGAAAAATCGGGACGGTCAGGATGCTCTTGGGTCCGCTTGCAGTAATATTGCAAACTAGGAATCGCTGAAGCAAGTCCTTAATATCCTGCAAGTGGTCCCAAACAAACTTCCGTATGCCCGGTTGGACCTCCGCCTCGTCCTTGCGCCTTTTACGGGATTATCATCTATATAAGGTTCACACTTTTCCGGAAACATATCCCCTGCAACGGCGAGCATCCTCCTCTGCGCCTCTGCAACCGCATTTGTGAAGCCCATAGGGGTCACTTGCATCGGCAACTGCCCTACGGGGGTGTGCATTGCGGTATACGGTCTATCCCTCGCATCAAGTGGCAACTGGTCGTATCCTGAGTACAGGTCTATCAGGGAGTAAATGCTCCGCCCGGCGTGAGATTCGGCAAGCAAGTCCGCCTGTGGGAGTGAGCCTGCATCCCTAATTGTTACCGCATTGAGCTTCTGCAAGTCCTGGATCCACCTGAGCGTCTTGTTGGGCTTCTGGAAAACGAACCATTTGTTCGCACATTCCAACATTCATGCTCTACCGTGTGGATCCTAACCGGAGGAACTAGCTTTGCTTCCAACCGCCCTTTCTGGTGATCATTGAAAGCGAAAGCTAAATGGAATCCTGACACGCCTTCCTTATCAACTGAGTTTCCTCCGCTGTTAGAAACCCTTCCAGTCCTATTTTCATGGTATCTGCTACCTCATCTGGTATGCGATGCCCTTCCGTTGCCCGCCTCTCCTTTATAACCCGTAGGATCTCTTCTTCTTTTTCCATGGCCTCTTCCCTTGATGTTTCTACTATGATCGAGACCGGTTTGGCCTTCTTCCCTACGGGTTTGTACTTTCGCACACTCCCTTCTGGGATCGTTCTCCTAAAAAATGAGCAATCGGGATTGGCCTTGCCACCTCCATGGCACGGGGTTGAAGACTGACAACCTTCCCATTGAGGCAGTAACCTTTCTGGATTTCTTCTTCAAATCTTGCAACTGCTGTCGGATCTACCCCAACTTTATGGTACCTAATAGCTTTGATGAGCTGCAGCAAGTCAGGGATTTCGAGTACTACTACTGTCGTTTCCTTCCGTCCCTCCTTTGGCTTGGGCAGGCTGGCCCCAAGTTCAATCTCCGACTCCTTTTCTGCGAGCATGACTCCGAGGACCTCGTCCTCCTGTCTCCTTTTCTTTAGAGGCAGACCCATTTTGATCCATTCCTTTTTGCTAAACACTTCCTCAATCATAATTTCCACCATTTCCCTCATGCCTTCCATCCGTGCGAATGCGCCTTTTCGTGCACTTTCTTCAAACGTCGGCGACCAGGTTGCCAGCTTACCCTTGGGGGGGTCCCCTCCAGTTCCGAGGAGTCGGAGGAGTTCTCCGCGACCAGTCACCGGATCCTCTATGTCTACCATATACGTGCCATCATGCAGGTGCATGCCAATCATTTCTACATTGCGCACCATGGTCTCCCAAGGATTATGTCATGGTCCATTTCTTCCATGACGGTCATCCGTTGGAAAGACCAGATGGATTCCCGAATTCCTGCCCTGACCGCGCATTTGGTGACATACCCAGTGAAGGGAATTTCTCCGCCCGCTCCCCTGATACTCCCTGCTACCTCCTTGTTCACTGTGCATCCCGTGATTGTTGCGAAATCTCGTCGTATGAGGGTAATTTATGCGCCGCCATCCACTAATGCATCGGTGTCGTGAGTTCCGACCTGGACTTTAAGTTTTCCTACAGGCAGTGCATGGAAGCTAAGTTTAGTGCCAGACTGTGCTCTCATGACTTCGCCACCTTCTCGATCTGGCAGATTCAGACGAATATCGGCAAAGGTTTTTTCCAAGTCTTCCAGGCCCCCTGGAATGCTTTGGAGGTTAGAGACTCCTTGTGGCGCCTCGGCCTCCTCGGGTCCTCCTCTACTTCTACACGTTTACGCGTCAATAGCTGCCTGAGGCCCTTGAGCAGTCTCGGGCTTGCCTGCAGCATGGTCTGGAAGGATACCGACACCATGGTGCCCAGGAGTTTGCTTAGAGTGTCATCTAATTCGGGCAGCGTCAGAATCGGGATCTGGTACCTGAACTTCTTCTTTGCCGCCGTGGCTTTATCTACCGGTTCCTCTTCCCTCGTTTTTCCATAAACCTTCTCCTGTTCCCCGGCCTCAGCTTCCTCCTGATCTGCTCTAGCCCCCGTGGCTTCTTCCATTACCGTGTCTCGGATGAGCTTCTTTTCCGCGCCAGCCCGTCGGGTAGTAATATTTACCCTATCCTGCCCATTACCTTCCAGGATGAAGTTGACCTGGGGCCCACGCCCCCTTGGTTGGTCCCAGACAAGCCCAGCTACCGACTCTGCTTCTACGACAGCTATATCCAAGTTATTCAGGAGGATGACGACACGCCGCATTCCTCCTGGCGAATTCCAGTTTACGCGCTCTCCCTGAGGTCCGAGAATCTCACCTTTGAGGGACCTACTGCACCTCTGTCTAATGATGTCGTGGTTAAGTCTCGGACAGGTCCTCACAAAATGCCCGACCATTGTACAATATTTGCATTGTTCATTGGCCGGGTCCCTGCATGAAAGGGTGCACGGGGAGCTACTGCTGCCGGTATTACGGCTTCTTGGGGCGGGAGGGCGGGTCGGGACACCTGTGCCTGCATTACTAATAGCGCATTTTCCATTCTGTCCATCTTGCCGTCAACCCCGTGCACCCTTTCATGCAGGCTCTCTATTCCCTTTTTGACCTTATCCCCCGTCTTCCCGGTCAGGTCTATAACCTCCCCTTCCTTAAGCAGGGTCAGGGTCTCAGTTACCACTGTCTTCTCTGCAAGATCTGTTACCGTACTGAAATCCACATCCCTTGTGTATTCAAACTTGCTGGTCTGCTGGTATGCTGACAAAATCTTATCCTTATCAAACTCGGAGAACTGCCTGAGAAAGTATTTACTCATTATGCGGTCCGTTACCCCGGGAATTCGCAGAGCCACTAACGTAAACGCCCTTAGGAAATTGTTGTAGGTCACATAGTTTTTCCTCTGGACTGCTGCTAATTCGGCCTCTGTTGCCATTTTCTCTGCCTTCAGGTATTTCCTCGTCATCTCGTTCCTGGTTTCTTTCCAGGATCCACTGGAAGCGACGATGGCCATAATGTCCCTTCCCAAGCTTAGCGACACGTGCTGACCTAGGTGATCCATCTTTTCCTCTTCCGTCCATTTCAGTAAGGCTGCTAGGTTCTCATAGTCTATTAGAAACTCCGTAATGTTTGCCCCATCGAACGTGAGTTTCTTCTTTGCATCTGCGAGATACCCCTGGTTCTTGTTTAGTGCTCGGGTGAGGGTGGCGACTATCCTCTTGAGACCACCTTCGGAGCTACCCGCTTCTCCAGCAGCACTAGTCCCTTCCCCTTCCTTGCTTTCCCTCTGCTTCTCGCTGGTTTTCGGCGTTCCTTCTAGGTGAAACCATCCTAGCACCCTTTCCCTAAGGCTCCAGAGTTCGTTGCACGCCCCTGTTACTTTCGACGTGGCAGGCAGTCGGCTAGTGCCGCTGTCAATGGCGGGTGGGGTCATAGCGTTTTCCGTCCCTTCCGCCGGGGGGTCGTCCTTGTCCTTCCCCTTCTTGTTAGGCGTTCCCTTGTGACTATTATCCTTCCCCCCATACCTGGCCTCGTCCTGACCGGTCCTGCGTCCCTCACGTGATCCTGCGCCCTGGGGTTCCTCCTTATCCCCGGCCATCATCTGCTCGATAAGCCTTGCTTTAAATTCTACAGTCCGCTTTTCTATCTCTGCCAGTTTAGGACGGGCATCCGAGATTTTCGTCTTTCTAGGGGTGGTTCCTGCTGAGTTCCGAGGGCTTGTTCTCATATCGTTTCCCCCTTCCCTATTTTCCTGAGGTCCCCTTTTGCTACCCCCAGCTTTCCCCAAGCTTTCTCCAATTGAGAGGTCCTTCCCGTCTTGTCGGGTTCCTTCCGGTTTGGCTGACTCTCGATCCCTCGCTGATCCCTCGTTTCGTTCCCCATCCCCATTCGTGCCCTGATTCCCTCCGCTCTGCTGGTCATTGATCCCTTCTTCCGTCGCCATTCCTTTACCTAGCCTGCACATGGAATTTTTTTTTTGCGAAAATTGGCCGGTTGTTCATAGCTCCCCTAGTCCCGACCGTAGAATCCGCCTATTCCCATGCTTCTTGTGCCTTACATTACTCGGTACGACTCTCCTGACTTTTCTTTCCCAGGGCGTCCTTTAGGTTTTCTTCTGTCAGGGGACTTGCCACCGCTGTTCGGCATTTTATTACTGCCGCGCTTTGGCTCTTAGGGCGGTGTTTGAGCCCAGTGGCTTCCTTATCGAGGATGACCCTTTTGGCTTTTCGACCTCCAAATGCCCCAGAGTTTTCTGGTGCGGGTGGTCTTCCTAGTTCCTCCTTGCCGCACTATCGGGTCGGACGGAACTCCAACCACTGCCCCCTTTATTCACTGAATGGCTGCCTTCTTATCTTAGTACCCATCCCTTATTTCCCTATCTTTCCCCGACGCGTTTTCTCATGCTGGTCCCTCAGGCCTGCCTTGCTCATCTGGTTCCTCGAACAGGTCAGCCACCCCAGCAAGATAGTTTTCTCCCATCTCTATTTCCCTGATGATTATCGGTTCATATTCCTCAAAAGCCAGGCGAGGCAAATCGAATATCAAAATTTCAATGAGGTCAAGCAGTTCCCAGGCCTGATTCTCCCAGAACGGCCTATGCTTGACCGATACGTCGTAAAACATTCCCGTCGTTTGTGGCCGGAAGTGGTGGATCCAGACCAGAGTCGAATCCACCAGGTCCCTGGCTCTCTTGAGGCTACCAAATACCAGATCCACCATGAAGCGGGGAACTCGGCACCTCAGCCCTGTCATTGGGGCCTTGAACTCCCGCCAACCCCCTACCTCCACCCGTGTTCTCAATCCCACGTTTCTTCTCCCCCACACTTCCTGGCCTACCCGGTTGAGTGTCCTAGTAGCCCTCTGGAAGATTGGTAACAATCCGTGTCCCAGTGCCAATTCCGTTCCCAACATGTACCACCCCAGTTCCGGCAGGTATACGGTCCCTGTCACCCTAAGGTCAGTGTACAGATCGTCCCCTGGTCCCCTATTAACCCTCATACCATCCCACAAACATTCCACCATAATGAACGCCTGATCCCTTCCCAAGGTCACGGCCCTCCATTCGGTATCCAGTCCTCGGACCATGTAGCTTGCTGGGAGCGATACCTCCCATCCACCTCCACTTTCCGTCGATGGCCGCGGGTACGTGGGCCGTCGTGACATCCGGGCGCGTCTCGTCGCCATTTTTGGCTTAATGGTCCCCTGCATAGTTTAAACAGCAAGCGAATTTACTTATTTCATTTAATCTTCAGCTCCCGCCCGAATATTCCCTGGTCTTTAGCTTGAAGCTTCTTTTCCTCTCTATTCCCTTTCCTTTCCTTAACCCTTTTACTGGCCCGTTCCTACTTCCGCCGGCTCATACAATCGGCACAGATCATCCATGTACGCTATCCCTCAACTTATTTCCCGTCGAACGACACCCCACAGGACTTCACTACTAACGACCGGAGCCCTTGGCCTAGTACTAAACACAGCGCGCAAGATGCGCAACATCTCATACCTCTGTTCACCGCTAAACGGCCCCATTTCTAGGAAGGCCCGATAATATTCTCGATGTACCATCGCATCTTCATACGTCAGATTTGCGAGGTCGGCTACCGCTCGTCTAACAAGTTCCAGACCGCCCAATCTCCCCAACAGGAAGGGCGGCAACCTCATTCGTACATTCGCACTAGGCAATTCAAAACTCCCGACCATGGCTACCTTAAGGTCCGCCGTTACATTGTCACCTCCTGGATCCGCGAACTCGAATCCCGCTCGCCACACTAACTGCCATGCCGCTTCGAACATACTCAGCGGGTCTTCTCCTGATGCCAACCGGACTCCGAACTCCTGCCACCCGTCCTCTGATACATACAGTTGCCCTTCCACCCGCATATGCCCCCGCGGGTCCGGGTTCCATTCCCCATTCTCATCCGCACGCCATTCAACCCTCGTCACTAGGTAAACCATGTTTTCCACAAGTTCAACCCCGACCCAATCCACCATCGGGTGCCATCCCTCATTTGCGGTGGGCAGGCTAGTTTCTATCCTACCATCCACATCCCTAGGCGGCTCAATGCCCAGCGGGCAGCCCTCAAGGAACGTCCTTCTTCGCGCCATCTGCGCTCTTGTCCTTGGTCTTCTGTCTCGCAATCCACACTGAGTCCTACAATGGCCAGACATCCCAATCCCTTAACTTAGCAATTTCCTCATACCTGCCTGGCCCCACGACTTTATTGCTCTTTTTAGTCGGAACCACAACACCTCAAATAGCTTGAACACATCATCCACACAGCACGGTATCGCTGCTACTTCCCAGCGGATTATGGCGTCCCTAATTTCTGGAGCTACTTCCAGCCGGTCGTTCCTCTCGATGTCCAAAATGGTAAGGACCTCCCGGGCCCTGTCGCCATGGAAAGGTCCGAGTTTCAGGGACGTTTTATAGAATTATTCTGCCAACCATGCACAGTTTACGTGTATCCGCTCCATAGTGCCGGCTACTTCCGCAACGTGATCAAAGCCCTCAAACCAGTCTGCCACGAATTCCGGCACCCAGGTCTTGGTCCGGGCGCAGGGCGGTTTAAATTCCTTCCATCCTCCCATCACGACTCTACTACTGACCTCATCCCAGCCTTTGTTGGCGAACCTTTCTCCTGCCTTTCGAGTCCTTGCCTCGGCACCCTCCAAAAGCCACATCGGATTTTGTTTCGCAGCAAGTGTGGTGCAGAACAGATCCACCCCTGCTCTGACAAGCCGACCGTCCCAACGGACTCTACTCTCCCTTCCGCGATATCTTCACATCCTTCCTCTTCCCTCAACGGGTTCCAGACACGTTTTATCCATAGGTATGATAGCTCTGGCACGATCTCATACCCCCGCCAGTCACACGTGGTCCCCTTCCATTCATTACCCATCGGTATAGACATTTCCACCCCACCTCTGGTTCGCCTTGGTTCCCATGTGCAGTCCCACAGCAGAAATTTCCGGGCCATCGCTCCCTACCTGCACATAGTCGACAGCCCGCCCCTGGGTAAGTCCCCGCCCCCGTTTTCAGAAGTCCCAGTCCTCTATCTCATCTTCGTCCTCATCATCACTGAAACCCCCTTCTTCGTCTGAGAACAGGTCCTTCACCCCCTCCAAGAAGGTTTCCCCTGTCGCCACATTCCGGTAAACTATCTGCCAATGCACCGGACTGGGAACAAAGATTTCGTCCGCACTGAGGAGGTTTAATACCTCAGCTAATTCTTCCGCCCAGTTTCCTTCAAACGGCCCCGCTTCCACCGACAGTCTAAAGAAGTCTTGTCTAGCACATTGGTACAGCCTCAGGCGCGTCATCGACCGACATATCCGTTCCAATCTATCCCTGGTCCCAAAGACTGCGTCCACCAGAAATGGGGGTAGCACGCATCTCATCGTCCTAAGGGGGCGTCTCATATTTTTCCGGTCTCCGAGTTCCACTCGCACCTCCATCTTTTCCATCTCCATTTCCGCCCGCTGACATGCCGCCCATACCACTTCTCGATCCGCTTGCTTAAACAACCGATCTGGCGCCGTGCCCAATACTAGTCCCTCTACCATTGCATTTTCCATTTCCTGAGATACGTAGACCCATCCTCGAGCTTTCACCGTTCCCCGGAATTCTAGGTCCATCAGGCTGGGCGAAAGTCTTGTCAGGCTGACCTTAGTCCAGGTTGTCTCTATCCAAAGGAACGCGTCCTTCTCGTCCAGCATCACGGTTTTATAAGCTGGCTCTAGGTCCGTCCACGTTCCTTCCTCCGGGAGGACGACAGATACCCCTTCCCTTACATCTATGGGCATTTCCGGACCCCTAGAGTAGACAGGGGGCGACAACCATCACGCGATCTTGTTTTTTCAGCGCCTATTCTGTTTCCACATGAGAGCACCACACGGCCCTTCATGGTCAGATTGCCTCCCTCCTATATGAGAATTACTCTCGGACCCCTCCCCTGGGTCTCCTCAGCATTTCCTACCCTTTTCCCAAACGTCGCTGCCCTATCATACCCTCAATTGATCATCCTCAGTCGGCATTCCTTTTTCTTGGTTCCATTTCCTTCCGACTCCTATCTAGCCTTTATCATCATGTTCTCTCACTCGTGCGGACTTAGACTTGGAGGTGAGAATAGACTCAGAAGCTCAGTCCCCACCCAACATTCATCAGCCAACTTTACAGAGCGAGGCACAAAAAGCAAAATTCAGGCAAACGTGGCACACGACCGGTCATCTCCTCACCGACCTTCTCCCCGGAAATGGTCTCTCCACTGTTACTATCGGCAGAGTTTTATCCCATACCTCAAGCACAGCTCAACCGTCGCGAGCGCGGTAACCAGACTCTAGTGGGGGGTCACCCTCACCTTCTTGCCCAGAATACCCCATCCCGACTTGTCGCTCGTGTACCCACCGTTAATCTCGGGAATCACCCCGCACATCTCGGTAGGGCCATTGGAGCCAGCCGTCCACGCATTCACTTCCATCGGTCCGACAAGGAACAACCTTAACCAAACCAAACTACGAGAAGCTACTAATTGCCTCCGAGGCTTTGTCTGCTCGCATGCCGCGGTACTCCCCCCGCCAGTCCACAGGCTAGGCCCCGCCTAAAGAAACGTTTCACACTCCGCCCGACAGATCAATCGAGCCGAAGCCCGTCACCGCGCGGACGAAGATGCTACTAAGGACCCGGCGTGACAAACTCCCGTTAGACAGCTCGGTGGCCTGACCCCCACATACGAACAAACGGCAGCCTGGAAAAGAGGACGACGTTTGGCAACCCGCAGTGGCCGGTGCAGACCCCTCCTTTCCTTCCGAAAGGCAGGACGCTCAATATCCCCATCATGCAATCACAAGTCCCAAGTGGGACACATACAACACAAGTGCCTTTCCCCTGGTGCACCCAGCGCTTCCTACCCATTGTTCACATGTTTTCACTCAAGACAGTGTGTGCCACTCACCCCTAACTTCCATACATAGTGCCCGGTTCTTTTTCGTGAACATCTTCAAAGGTGAGCTAGTTTTCTTGGAGTCTAGCAACTCCATTCATTCCCCTTGTCTTCACTTCATGTGTCCGTTCATGGGGCAGGATTGTTCCTTCTCGATTACCCTTGTGTTCATATGAGGTTCCTTCAAGCATTTAAGTGCAGTGCACGGAGCCCGCTGGGCTCCGAAGAAAAGGAAAGAGAGCACCCGTGTCGGTCGGATCACTCCGCCGCGGGATTTTCATTGGAACCCGGACTAGCCCGGAATCCCATCCGCCTGCCAGGTAACCGGAGCCTCTTTCACACGAAGAGGAAGGGTCGACCTGCGGCTTACCCAAGGCTTCCCCGGTCTGACGAACATCAGCCCGAAGGAAGGAGGACTAAAGTCACCTCCAAGGGAGATGGTTGATCAAGTGTGCGAGCATGGATGTTATTCCTCCAGGCCTGGCCTTGCCATGCGCCCATCCACCCTCAAATCCGATTCACCTCAAGGGATAGAGCATACACAAGTCCATATTCCTTATCTTCAGCTATGTACACGGTCACGCGTCGGGCGCCCCCCTCGAGATCGTCAGGGTCAGTTTAACCCAATACCCGACACCTCCACCATTTTTGTAGGGGCCGTACCCTGAAGGACTTTCGAACCTGAGTCGACCCCACTGCGGGTCCCATTTGGCTCGACCCGCCCACGCTCACGCTCAGGGCGCGGGTCGTTCGTCCCAGGGGCATCCCCACCTAGTGCTTTGAGATGGATGGGGATAGGCCTTTTGCGAGAGGGCTTTACACTGGGGGATGTAGCTCCGCTCTCGATGGTAGCTCTTTAGGCACTCGTGGCGTTTGCTTGATTCTTTTTCATCTGACCAGGCAATTGCTCCTTCCAATACGCAGGCAGTCCCCTGCAGCATCTCGGGGTGGGGTGGTTTCGCTCGGACCCCTAGCCGCTATATTTATTTTGCTTCAGTCACTAGTGTTGCATTCACCTATCCAAGACCGCCCTTAGTCCTTCCGGGCGTACACTGCATTCAAGAGAGCCATTGCATTCAATCACCATGCAAGCCGCATCTGGGCATCTACCATTCATCCAAGCATCCAACCGTCAAACCCATCCTGCATTCATAGTTTATGCGAGGTCTAAGTCCCTCCCTTATCCAGTTTTTCCGGCGGATCCAGTCCCGCTCGACACCCATCCCGAGCTACTCACCTGCACAACACCACACGAAGCATGGACCAAATACAATCCCCATTGGGGTCAACACAACGCCCCTTCCCACAATCCTAAGCTTCCTTTGCCCTTCGATGATCCTTTGATTGTCTTTCCCTTCCCTCAAGCGAACCATGTCTTTATCTTAGTCATGCAGTCGGGGAGGATGGTTGACTCAAACTGACCTTGTCACACAAAAAAAACAGCACTCCTTTTCGCTTTTTCCGAGGCTTACAACAGTCTGGTGCCTTCCCTTCTTGGTGGCACAAGGGACCGGCAACCCTCCCCTTGCCCTCGCTTTCCACCAAGTGAGGACCAAATCCCTTGCCGTTCGTTCCCTAGCAATGTAACAGGTGAGGGTAGAGGTTAGTCACGTGCCATGGAGGGGAGGGGGAGAGGGGAGAGCTCAAGAGTCAAAGGTCTTGGGAAAAGGAGGGAGGGGAAAGATGGCGGGAGAGAGAGAGAGAGAGAGAGAGAGAGAGAAAGAGAGAGAGAGAGAGAGAGAGAAAAGGGAGGAAGAGAGGAAGCGGGAGAGAGAGGACACGAGAGGCCCCACATCCAAACCGCCCTTGACCCTTGCCCCATCTTGACCGGCCCTACCCGAGACTTCGCGTGCCCCCTGGCGGCCCCTATGGCCCTCAAGTGGATGAGGGAGGTGATAAGCGAGGAAGGGTTGAGGTGGTCGGCTATGGGGGATGGGTGTAGGTGATGGAGGTAGAAGAAGGGTTGAGGTGGTCGGCTATGGGGGATGGGTGTAGGTGATGGAGGTAGAAGAAGGGTTGAGGTGGCCGGCTATGGTGGACGGGTGCAGGTGATGGAGGAAGGAGAAGGGTTGAGGTGGTCGGCTATGGTGGATGGGTGTAGGTGATGGAGGTGGGAGAAGGGTTGGGGTGGTTGGCTATGGTGGATGGGTGTAGGTGATGGAGGAAGAAGAAGGGTTGTGGTGGTCGGCTATGGTGGATGGGTGTAGGTGATGGAGATGGAAGAAGGGTTGGGGTGGTCGGCTATGGTGGATGGGTGTAGGTGATGGAGGTGGAAGAAGGGTTGGGGTCGGTCGGCTATGGTGGATGGGTGTAGGTGTTGGAGGTGGAAGAAGGGTTGGGAGTGGTCGGCTATGGTGGATGGTTGCAGGTGATGGAGGTGGAAGAAGGGTTGGGGGTTGTCGGCTATGGTGGATGGGTGTAGGTGATGGAGGTGGAAGAAGGGTTGGGGGTGGT